CGGTTACGTTATAATAAGAAAAGATCGAAATAGACATGGTGGAGGGGTAGCTATATATATTAAAGAGAATATATCTTGCTCAGCTAGACATGATCTTACCCCTGCCCAACTAGAAATGGTCTGTGTAGAAATTAATCTTCCATATAACAAATCGTTCTTGGTTGGTACATGGTACATGCCACCAAATGCAAGTATAAACGTATTTGAAGATTACACGAAATTTGTTGAAAAATGTGATTATGAAAATAAGCAGTTGATTGTTTTGTGAGATATGAACTGTGACTATTTTAAAAATCCATCTGAATCACATACTCAAAGACTAAAATTTATATCATCTACATATCAGTTGCAACAACTGATTTCGGAGCCTACACGAATGACAAACAGATCAGCCACTTTAATAGACTTGATATTCACAAATGAGACAAGAAACATAGCAAAATCAGGAGTTATTCATAATGGTATGTCTGACCATAGTTTAATCTACGTTGTCCGCAAATTTATATATTATCCCATATAAGCGTAGACAAATCAAAAAAGAAGTACGAAATTTAAAATACTTTGTGAAGGAAAATTTCATTTGTGATCTGCTTAATATACCTTGGCAAACAATAGAAACTATTAATGATCCTAATTTGGCCTGGAAGGCGTGGGAAAATAATTTTAATGAGGTTTTAGATAGGCATGCGCCTCTGAGACTTCAGCGTATACGGCATACCGCAATTCCATGGCTAAATTCGAACATTAAAAAAATGATGCGTAATCGTGATTATCATAAAAAAACAATCAATTAAATATGGGTCTGCGTATCACTGGAGACTTTATCAGGCCTCCAGGAACAGAGTCAATATTGAAATTCGGAAAAGTAAATCTCGTTATTACTGCCAAAAAATTGGCGAATGTAATAAGAACGATCCAAAAACTACTTGGAAACTAATTAATTCTCTTATTGGTCGTGCCAGTAAAACAAAACATGTTAATGAAATTGAAATTGACGATAAAATTATTCGCAACGATGAAAATATATCTGAAGCTTTTAATGAATTCTTTATTAATATTGGGCCTAAACTAGCTTCTGAAGTTTCAAATCAGTCAACAAATAAGGTTGAAACTTATTTGGAAAACAACAAGTTAATTATTCCACCCTTTCGTTTCATGTTTATTCCAGTGGATAATGTTTTGAAAACTCTAAGACATCTAAATGTTTCGAAAGGCGCCGGTCTTGATAAAATTCCGGCTAAAATGCTACGCATTGCTGCAGATATAATTGCACCCTCTTTAACTTATATTTTTAATCTATCACTTTCAACTGGAGTGTTTGTAGAAAGTTGGAAATATGCGAAGGTTATACCGATTTATAAGGAAGGCAACAAACGAACTTTGGGAAATTATAACCAATATCAATTCTACCGATAATAAGTAAGGTCTTCGAAAAAGAAATCTTTAGACAACTTTACAAACATTTAAACGAAAATTGCCTTATATCCAAATTCCAATCCGGATTTCCACCAGGGCACTCTACAATTACAGCTCTAATTCAAATGTGTGATAACTGGTATGAAAATATGGATAATGGCAAGTTAACAGGGGTAGTTTTCCTTGATATCAGAAAAGCTTTCGATTCAATAGATCATGTTATACTACTTGAAAAACTAGCTTTCTATGGCGTTTCTCAACTTGAACTTGCATGGTTTAAATCCTACCTCTCAAATCGGCAACAACAGTGTCAAGTAAATGGCTGCCTCTCTAATAAAGGTGAAATAATTTGCGGGGTTCCACAAGGTTCCATACTTGGCCCGTTGTTGTTCCTAATTTATATCAACGATTTACCCAACTGTCTAAAGACAACAACACCCTGTCTATACGCAGATGATACCCAAATTTTCGCCTCTTCGTACGACTCTGTTGCGCTGGCTAATGATATAAACTCTGATTTAGAAAATGTCACAGATTGGTTAAATGTAAATAAACTCCAATCCCATCCTTCTAAGCATAAGCTTATTGTCATAGGATCTAAACAAAACTTGACCAACAAAGATGGTGAATTGTACAACAGCATTATCATGAACAATAACGTAATTTCACCTGTTGTCTCGAATAAATGTTTGGGAGTTGATCTTGATGACAGATTGACTTTTGATATCAATATTGAAGAAATATGCAAGAAGATCTGTTCAGGCATAGGAGCATTGAGGAGAATTAAACCATTCGTTCCGCAGACCTCTCTTGTTACATTATACAAGTCATTAATCCAACCATATTTTGATTATTGCTCTCCCCTGTGGGATACATGCGATAAAATATTAAAAGATAAATTGCAAATACTACAAAATCGTGCGGCTAGAGTTATCACTGGAGCAAGATATGATGAGAGGATTAGATCAAGTGATCTTTTGGAAGGTTTAGGATGGGGTAATCAGTACATGTTAGGCGGGCTAAGTTGAAGAGTATCCTAATGTATAAAATCCTTAATGAAAATTGTTCGCCATGTTTAAGAGAAAGCCTTGTAAGACTTAGTGAACTTAATAGACGCCATAATTTATGAAATCAGGAAACGGATCTAGCACTTCCAAAACCAAAAACTAATTTTTTGAAGAGAAGCTTTAAATATAGCGCATCAACGTTTTGGAATAATCTTCCATTAGATGCAAAAAGAGCGACTTCGCTCAGTCAATTTAAGCGTAGTATTGCTGAACTGTCCTTTTAGAACCATGTTGACTTAATTATAGTTAACTCTCTTTATTTACTTTACTTGACTTTATTTTTCTCAGTTTGTTGTTGGGGGGAGGTTGGGGGGTTCATATAATATTCCATATATTCTACTGTTTTATATATCACGCTCCTCCTGTAAATCAGCTTTTAGTTGTGCGAGGCTAGCGTGTTTTGATTTTAAATAAAATTGATTGATGATGATGTACCCAACAAGAATAGAAATACCACTTCGATTTAGCTTTTAAATACCTGTTTAGAGAATTAGATCTTATTGATGCACAATGAATTATAAACAATTAGCTGGAATAATCCCCAGTGTCTGATATTTGCTCTATTTCCATAAAAATATGCAACTAAATTATATATTCAGTAATATTTTCTACCCTCGCTTGGACAATATATATATAACCTATGCATTTCTTTTGTAGCCAAGTAGCTACACTCTCTGTACTGAACAGATCTGTCCTGACGATGACTAAAATATATTAAACAAATTTATTAAATTAAAACTACAAAATGTTATTTGGAGTTACTGTTCTTTTGCATTTATAAAAATACTCAGTGGTCCCCGTAACAATCTCCGTACTGCAGATTGTGCACTCTGTGATTTACACGATGGGACCCTTATATTCGCTTACCTCAGTCAATTTGCACGCTGATTTGTGTCAGTCTTTACTTTATGATTGACAACTTCCAATTCCACAGCTTTGTACAGCTCTTTACACAGTTATATACACTGTAAAATGCATATCTCGCCGACAATCAATATTACCGTGAGTGTTGCAATCCATTGGTCAGTTTATCCAAGAGTAGCCATGCAGTTTGCGCCCAAACCCTGCGGGAAGTTCCTTTGTTAGAAGCTGACAAGCTCAGGAAGTCACACAGACACTGAAACAATATAATAAGTACAACAAACAAGACAACATATAAGCAGCGTCGTGAAGCATGCAGTCCGTCGTGATGTATTCCGTGCAAAATATTGCTCCATATATAGATATCTGCATCATTTTCGTTTTTCGAATCGCATGCCGCACTAGGCTCAAACAATAGGGAAGACATGTGTAACATTTGTAAACCTTATCAAATAAACTTTTACAAAACCATAACTTATAATATTTTATTCCTCACTTATAGTATAGGACTGTTTGGATTGTGTTGTAATCAGAATACCCATGGAAAATATAATATTTTTTACTAGGTTTGAACGTAATGCATTTAATTTAATTTAATTTAATTTGCCACGCAAAAAAACCGATGGGCTTATGAGTCGAAGTAACTTCATTATATAATAATACTAGTTTATTTATTTAACCTTATATAGTAATATTAGGTATTACACAAAATTCATTTTAGAAAAAGAAATATATATACATAAGGGTTTTAGAGATTATTTTCTACAAGAAATTTCATCATTTTTTTCTTAAAAGTAAATAAGCTATCCGAGTTTCTTATATCAGATGATAGTGCATTCCATATTATTGGGCCAAGATAAAGTGTACTGACTTTTTTTAGATTAGTACGACAAGCAATTTGTGTGAGAGAAAGGAAAACAATATAATGATATTATATTCTTTTGATAAAGCGTATAACATAAATTTTATTACTCAATCATTTCATTAAACATGGAATAACGTTTTCTGGAAAGGTTGGAGTGATGTAGCATGGATGATGGAATCATCAGGTGAATTCCACAGAGTAATCCCACTTTGTCTTAAAGTCATTTGTCTAGTTTTGGTCTTGGCTTGAGTGACGTGAATTTTACTAGCAATTCCACTTATATGAGACCAACAAGAATCACACAGCATACGGCAACACTTATTGACAATATTGACGATGTTGATACGTCTACAGTACAAATGGCATAATTTTTTAACAAATTGCATTGCCAAGTCTGTCAAGAAGAAAAACAAGCTATATAAGAATACTTACATAACCCTACGATAAAGAATGAAAACAACAACAAGCAATAGAAAAATAAGCTCAACCACGCGTAATAAAGGTAGCAAAAAGGAAATACTACGAAGAGCAGTTAATAAAATACAAATACGACACAAAAATTCCTATTGAAAACATTAAAGTGCATATGACATGAAATTTCTTATTTTCTTAAATGAAAGAACTCTTTAATCTGTAGTGCAACTTATTTTTCAGTTTGTTATTTTTAAGGTTTGTTCACGATTTCATGTCATATGCACTTTAAACCAACCTATAATTTTAATTAATTTCATTTAAAAGTATTTATATTGCGCTAAAACTGTAAAAATTCTAAAGCATGAACAAACATGAGAAGATAGAGGTTTACCGAACGAATTTACTGGAATATTACTCCGTATATAGGTAAATTAATTAGTGATCCACAAACTATATAGCAAACAAGTTCAATGAGTATTTTGTAAATGTTCGGCCAGGTATAGCGAAAAAAATCCCAAAGAGGTAGAACTTATAATCAATATCTAACTGGTATAGCTATTAAAAATAGCTTTTTTCTACAGCGCATAACCAAATATATGAATTAGAAACTGAAATTAAAATCCCCAAAAAAGTCCGGGGTACGATGGTTTAAAAGTTATCGGATATATTACTAATGAAATTTGAGAACCTCTTTTATCATATTTTCAATTTAACTTTTATTACTGGAAATATTCCTGTTAATTTGAAAAAAGCATTAATCACACCAGTTTTCAAAGCGAACGAAAACAAGGAATTTAAAAATTATCGACCTATATCTGTTCTCACTTGTTTTTTCACAATTATTAGAGAAACTCATGTATAAGAGATCAATCAATTTTATCGAATATTGACGCAGCATCAATACGGTTTTTAGTGCAAAGTTTTTAACTTTGAACTATGGTGATGAGGAGAAATAATTCACACGGGATATCAGCTATCATACATTATATATATATATATACAGGGGGGGCCCAAAAAAAAGTACTCCTGTTTGATTCGTAATAACATCTAAACAAGTATAGCTTTTAAAGAGAAATAACTTGCATCAAATAGAGGAAGGACTAACTTAAACTTTGATATATTACAGTTGTATTTCACTTAAAAATTCACGGAGATATTAATCTTTAAATTCGGGAGGATATTTCTGGATGTGTCTGAAATATGCAAAAATCGGCGTATCAAATATTAATCAAGATTTGCCCGACTGAAACATGCACTATTACCAGTAAATAAATGACACTTGACAAATTGTTTATTATGAAACAAAGTATTATTATATCTACAAAATACAAGCAAGATTCATTCGTCCGAAATTCGCGTGTGTTCCTAGCACGAATACGTTTCCTTATTTCATGAGACCACTGCATCGCGAAGGATCGTCATTGGATCGTTCGTAGTTCTGAATTAGGGCATGCTGTCACAACGGAATTGTGAAGCTCTTCTAACTTCTGCAACGTTCTGAAATCTTGTTAAGAACACCCAAACTCTTTTGCCGTTTCTTAATCTTGGCAAGTTCATGGAGTAAACTGAGAATTATATGAAACACAATCAAACCATACAACTCCATAAGACATAACAATTAAGAACTCCCCAGAGACATGCAACATTTTTGGAACAAAACGTAACAAAATAGTAGCGTTGATACGGTGATGTGTATTTGCAAAAAGCAATATTATTTCCTTCAATAAAGAATATTCATCCTGCTCTAACCGAGAAATAATCTACTCAGTCTGTTTGAACCCATTAAAAACATA